GACCCTTTAACAGGGTTCTGCACCTTGAGGACACGAGGGTGCACCCAGCCCTGGGAGCCAGGTAATTTAACACAGCATGTCAGACCTATCAACCCATCAGAGCTACGCAACCAGACCATAGACATTAACACAGGGACACCTCATGCCAGGCAGCGCTGGTCAGTATGATGCCCTAAGGATATTAGTGCTTCTCTGCCTGCTGATCCTACAAGTGGTGGCACTGCCTAGGAGGTGCACAGAAACACAGAGCTCTTGGGGGTCCCAAGACAAGACCCAGCACCTACCAGAGTCATGTGCACAGCACCCACCCTCCCCTCTCACCAGCCAAAACAGGGTCTCATGTGATAATAGAAGACACCTTTGCAGCAGAATGCAGCCCTGCAGCAGGGACACCAGGGCACAGGGTGAGCGGGCGCAGTGGAAGAGCTGGAGTTTTTCCATACCAATGAAGCTGGGCTGTCCACTCGCTTCTGTTTCCATACCCCACCCAGCCCACTGCTGCCCCCCACACAAGGGCTGAGCTTCCTGCACCTACACACAGTTACAGCCTTAACAGGCATTCCATGGACAGGAAACAAAGGACCCGACCACTTCAGCAGCCAGAAAGAGGGCTGGGAGCATCCCACTCCCATTGCATCTTCCTCAGGGCTTTCTGGCATCTGTCAGAGCCCATGCAGTGCCCAGCTGGGACCCACAGTCTGGGCACACACAGCTCTGCCAAATCCCGGCAGAGATTTTCTCTTTTTCACTAAGCAGCCTGTGAATTGACTTAACAAGTATGGCAGAAATATGCCACTGTTTCAGAGGAGAACTTCTGTGGCACTTGGGGAGGTTATTTATAGCCTCGAGCAAGCAATCCCAGGCTAAATCACACTGCAGCTTTGCTCTGCGCTGAGCAGCCCTGAGAGAGCACGTCGTACTCCAGAGGTGCCAGTACAAACAGCCCCCAAAGCCGCCAAGTCTCTCCCAGCCAGCTAAAGAGGTGCAGAGCTTCACACAAGCAGCCTTGAGCTTCCCATCCCTCCAGGAAAAGGGACCTGCTGGGTAGGGGAGTCTGAAGCAGAGATGGGAAACTGAAGACCCCATTAGAGCTGCCTGCGATTCAACTCGCTTCTAATGCTTTTGTGTATGGACCTTATGCACACAAAAAAACACACAGGAGTGGAAACACACATGCACTCACTGCTTAGCATTGACCTGGGGCTACAATCCTTTTCCTGATATAGGATTTATCTTTGCAGCAATCAGCAGGCGCCTCCAGTACTCACAGCCTTGGGAGGGCAGCGGGCAGTTGAGCTGAAGGGTTTCATAGGAAGGGATGTGCTAAATCAAACTAAAGTCTCTTTCATGTCCCATCTCCAAACATAGACAGCAGCAGATGCTCGGTTCAATTTCAGTATCCCACGCAGAAAAAAGTACTGACAAATATGAGAGAAAATGCCTGGTTGCCAAGATCCCTTAAGGGAAAAAAAAAAAGAAACCTGCCACCCAAACCCCCAAACCCCACCTGCTGCCCAGAAGAACAGCATTTCCCTCCCAAACCTCTAGTGTTGCATTTATCTGCAAACTGGTCTGGTATCAGGAGCTCCAGGTTTCAGCACGCCCATGGCAGCTCTGGACTGCAGGCAATGGGTCTGCCCAAAGACCAAGGTTTACTTATACAGCCCCTTCTCCCTCCGCCTGCAGATGGGGGTGCGGCAAAGAGGGATCTCACACCCATCTGCCCCTTTATTGGGAACCACACACATTAGGATACTGTGAATGGATTAACGAGTCCCAGGACTGAAGGACTGATACCTGTTTCTAAATAATAGGTACATGGTACATGGGATCTTGCTCTGGACCACAGGATCTCCAGGGCAGGAGGAGAGCCTAGCCCACTGAGCTCCCAGCCAGTAACAACTCCTGAGGGGCCAGTAACAGCTTCACTGTGCGAACTCAGCAGCACCCAGCATCCCTGTACTGGAACAGACTGCAGGTCTGGCACTCCAGTGACAGGCTTCATCACCCCATTTACCTCCCTCTACATGCTGATCTCCCTGGAGGCGTTGGAGTAGCCGGAGTCATGATCTCCGAATGTGCAGAACTGCTGGTGTTGCACAAGGTGGCTCTTGGGCTTTGTTCTGCAGCACTAAGGGTTTGAGAAGATAAGGAGTAAGCTCACATCCCCCTCCTCCTTGCACAGACCGGAGGAGCTGTGCTGGGTGGAGAAGGACAGGAGGCATCTTTACTCTCTACATACCCATTTATTTAATCAGAAAACCACTGCGCAAGTGGGAATTTCTGTCCACTCCCCTGCACCATGCTGCAGCTCCCAGCCCTCATCCAGATGCTTCAACTAACCCAAGAGGCCAGGCTTTTGATTTTATTAAACATTTCAGACCACAAGACACAGAAGAAAATGAACGTCCTGCCTTCCCTTGGAGACCAGCAATTCCCAGCAGCCCAGCCAAGGCACCTCCGGGACACAGAAGTGTTTGGTGCCAGGAGAGGCGGCCAATGAAAACAGATCCAGAAGTGTGAAATCTATTACTATTCTAAGAAGATGGAATGAGATTTTCCAACTATTGGATTTATATCCAGAAAATGGATTAACATAATCCTTAGAGGACAGTTTGCTCAGACTTGGTGTCCCCATGCCAGAGCATATGGCTCCAAGTGGCTTCACTGGGGACAAGCAACACAAGCATCACATGTGACAGCACTTCTTGCTTCAGACTGAGTCCATCACTCTGTGCTGGAAAACAGCCCAAACCCTGACTGCCCACAGCTACCCAGGCCAGGATGCCAGGACTCCCTCAGGAGAAATGACACCATGGATGCCAGCAGCTAGCATTGAAGCACTACATACCACTATGTGTGCCATTTAAAGACAGCAGCAGACAGCGTAGGTCTGAATGTAAAAATAAAAGTAAAAACTAAACCAATCAATCAGCACATACCAATTCAGGCCAGCATTGCCCCCCTGCAGTGAGCCCCAAGCAACTTTGTTAGGAATCCCAGGCTGCAGGAGCAAAAAGCAGTGATTCAGCTGCCGAGGGCTGTAACACCAGAATCCCCCCCACCCTCACTAGCAGCAATCCCAGGAGGCTTTTAAGAGACAGGCACGCAAGTCCCGGCACCCCAGATGAGCATTTTTCTTCTTTAATCTTCCCCAAAGTTCTGCTCTAAATCCGAGTTTCTCATTGTTGTGACTCGCACTGGATGCCTGGCCAAAACAAGAGCGGCACAGGTTTAAACGTTCAGGACTTTTGGGGATAAAAGGAAGGAGTAAGCATTTAATTAATCTCCAGAAATCTAATGAAAGGATGGAGTAATTGCCTAAGCCATCTGTGTTCTGTGTCTGACATCAGGGACTGATGGAGAAGCCCACAGATTCGGAAGCTGGGTTTTGTACAGACTGTGCCTGGCATTAACGTGTGCCACAGGATAGCAAATAAGAGAAAGAGGAGCTAACAAAGACTAATATGCACCACCCCATTAAGGCAGCCAGGCTGGCAGCATGAAAAAGAGATGAGCCATGAGCAGACCGAGGGGCAATTGAAGCCCTTTCTCACTTCTAACCCCCCAGGCTGGGCCACCCAAAACTGGCATAGAAGAGGTACATGGGATTTAGAAAGAGAGATGCTTTCAGCTTCCCTGCAGGCGAGGAGTGAGCAGGTGCTGGCAGCAATTAGCTCCAATAATCCAGGAGCAAAAGGCTGCAGAGCTGAATTTGAACAGCCTTTCCTAAGAAACAGTTGCAAAGCAGGTTTAAGTTTGCTCCATAAACAACTCCTCGGCTGTTTTGCTCTGCAGCACAGCGCCTGCGGTCAGGCAGGAATGGCCTCTGCAGAAAAACCCTCCCAGCTCTGAGAAAAGGTGAAAAATATCACAGCCTGCAAGGATCCGCAGCCTCGCCCCAGGGCACTGCACACAATCAGGTGCCAAAACTGTGATTTATTATTTTTTCCCCCTGCCAACACACGTGCTCTGAGGACAACAGCATGCGAGGGATGCTTGCCTCCCCGCCACTCAAAACTGTTGTACACTGGGCTTTTCCCAACTCAACCTCACTTGAGTATCTTGTCAGTGTTATAGCTGTATCCCCCGGGAACAGCAAAGGGAGCAGAATTTTATGTTTCCCGTTTACAGATTCCATGGCCAGCTACTTCCCAGTTAGCTGCTGGCCAGCACTACCTGCTCAGGCCTGGGCAACATGGACAGGTAACTTGGCTTTTCCCAGCCTGCTGTGAGATTGCAAGCACTCAGCCTGTGGGATTGCAAGCACTCAGCCTGTGGGAAGCCACAGCCTAAGTGGAGTAAGAATAAGAAAAAAAAAAAAACGGGAAAAAAGGGAAGAAAGGAAAAAAAGCATGCTTCCTGCCAAATCCACTGGCAAGAATGGCTTATATATATAAAGAGAAACAGCCATCTTTTCCTTTGGGCAGGCAGTCCTGACCTCTAGCACTACACCTCAAATGGCATGCAGTCTTTCCTTCTGCTTACACGATAAGTTTATCCCATCAGGGAGCACCAGGGTACACGGCATCCTGCATACACCAGCTGTCCCCCATCACACCAGCACTCCAGCGCTATCCACCGCACTGGGAGCACAGAGCAAAGTCCGAGACGGCCGCTCTTTCCGGGGGGAGATGCACGCACACATGGGACAGTCCGCGGCTCTCTGGGGCCAACGTCTCCAAGCAACACCCCGCATAGCCATGGAGGGATGCAAGGCTAAGGAGGGATGCTCGGATGAGGCAGCAGGGTGACCCCGCTCCAGTATGACCCATCCAGCCTGCTCCGAATCCTTACGGGATGGGCGGGAAGCCTCACCCAACTCTTTGCAGTTGAGCTCGGGGAAGAGCAGGCAACGCCAGCAGGAGGGACTGCCGGGGAAAGAGAGGAAAACCTAAGGCTATGCGAACAGAGAGCTGGAAAACAGGGAATCCCGAAGGGTCGGGGTTATGAGCGCTGGGCAGGGACCCCCGCGGAACCCCTCCGCGCCCGCCGCCCACCTTGGCTTCGAAGCAGATGCCGTGCTGGAAGGCGTCCTCGTTATGCAGGGGGATGCGGAGGTCGTGCCGGTCGTCCACCAGGTTGTACTTGGACTTGGCGGGCATGGCGGCCCCGCGGCGGCCGGGCTGCCCCTGCAGCGCGCCCGGCGCCGCCGCCGCCGCGGAACCTCCGCCCTTCGCCGCCGGCCTGCCCCCGGGGCGGGGACGCGCCGCCGCGGAGCGCGGAGGAAGGGCGGGTAGCGGAGGGGGTCTGGCAGCGCGGGGCTCCCGCTCTTGCAGCGGGAGGGGCGGGGAGGCGTTCCGAAACCAGCCCGCTGAGGGGCGCTGGGGAAGGCGCCGCTGACACCTAGTGCGTGGTGCCGGGTCTGCACCCAGTCCCGCCGAAGTTTCAAACAGAGGAAAGGGGCTGTGGGCACGGTTCAGCCTGGGGTGCGCTGCGGAACGCCGTGAAGCCTCCCCGGGCACGTATGGCAAGCCCTCGGCTGGGAGCGGCGCCCCGAGAGACGTGTACCTCTTCGCTAGGGGAGCCTGGGGTGCTGCAGGCGCTCAAGCCATCCACATCTTGGTATCAACGCCAGGCATGATGGAAATCAAGCAAGCTGGAAGTAAAAAAATCTCCATCTTGTGCTAAATGAAAGGCCAGTCCGTGTGATCAGATTAGACCCTATTGTGCCCTGCTTTATAAAACCCCTAAAAGCTGTGAATGTGCTCACACACACAGTGAAAGCATCCCAGAGTTGCTTTCCAGCTGTGCAGGGACCCAGTTACATATCTCTGACTGCAAGTCCAGGCTATTTCACCCCTTACCCACACATACAGAGTACACCCTAAGGTATGGCTCCATTCTTCTGTGTTTTAATACCCATAGATGCTGCATAACCACCGCAAAGCTCATCTCACTGCAGTATGGCCAAAGAGTTCACACTGGCCTTCACACACACCAGAGCACCATTTAGAATGAGCCTTTACCAAGGCAGATGCATCCCCCCTCTCCACGGGAGACCCATAATTCCCAAAGCTCTTGCCCCACCCTGTTTGTGCAGTCCTGCACACCAGAGTACATTTCCTCTTCTAAATGACGGCAGTGCAAACCACAGTGCTGGCTTTTGACCCTTCTCTAGGCGTATAGGGCCATTGATTTTTCAGACTGAATCAATGTGGTGAAACTTTGAGTTCATAACATAGTTCAGAGCCAGCCACAGCATTTCAGCCACGTCTAAGAAATTATTGCTCTCCTCAAACTGGATCAGGTTTTCTACTATCCCCAGCAGCTCAGACAACAGGCTGGTCACAAACAGTTAGGTGACAAGGTGAGAACAAAGGTATATGCTCAGCTATAACCATGAGAGGTGTATGAAGACAGCCACTGTGCTGTCAGCTTCCACATGCCAGGCCAGGCTCAGGGTGGGATCACACAGAGCTGTCAGTACTTGAATGAGTTAATCAAGGACTGATTTCCCATTGAAGGCAAGCCCTGGGTTCTTGAAAACCTGTGTTCCTTGTTTTGCAAAGGGGGGCAGGGGATCAGTGCTGCTGCACCAGCTTGGTGACTGCACTTGCAGAGATTCCTGGGCAGAAAGGGTGAACACCCACGATGGACTTAGGGTCATTTAAGCCTTGGACAGGTAGATGTTAGTGGCAGGATAGTCTTGATAGTCTGTTCCGTGGTGCTTGATGCTCCGAGTTCTTACAGAAAGCTTCTGTTTACCTCTAGCAAAGGCTTAGCTGACAGCATTGAAGAGGTCCCAGGTGCTGGGAGTAATACAACCACTGGAGAAGTCTCCTGTCCAATGCCAGCTCCAAGCAGGGTAAGCTTCAGGACGAGAGCAGCAGCTCAGGACTGTGTCTAGGTGATCTGAAAGTATTCCAAAGGACAGAGATCCCACAGCTTCTTTGGAGCCGTGTTGTTGTGCTAGATTTGCTTAAAGTTACACAGTCTGCCAACTGTTGTCTTTCCGCAGCTAGCAAAGCCCCATAGATTTAGTGAAGAGCTGAATTCCTGCGTGGGAAAGCTTGCATCTCTTCACTGAATGGTGCCTTCAGGGAGGTTTTCCTCAGGCAGACATGTGTTTGATAGAAAAAGCCTCCAGAGCCTGGCAAACAAACCAGCTCCTCCCAGGGGGGTCCCAGTGGGTTTACCTGGCAGCACTGGGGAAGCTCACAGACCCTTGTGTGGTGGATGCTCTGGGCAGTCCCACACCCTTCTCCTCTGCCTCTTCTGCAATGACAGTGGCTGGTCTCACAGACAGCTGCAGTGCCCAGAGTCAACCTGTAGACTGCCCTTAAATACTGGGGGTGAGCCAAAGGAGAACCCTCACTGCAGTTACTTCTGGACTCTCTTCGTGGGCCTCTAGCACCAGCAACTCAGTGCTGCTGCACCATGTGGAACAGCAGCCCTGGGAGGGGAAGCAGCAGCTCTTCCTGAAACCAGTTTGTCCCAAACCCACACCTGTCTGTTACCCCAAGTGTGATTAAGTGGTACTTGCTGCATCAGGCAGTGGTGCAAAGTCACATGGGCTCTGCAGGTGGCTTCTCTTATGATTCTACCTTCCTGTTATGTTACAAAGGTTAACTGTGTCCTTTTTTTCCAGGATGCCCCTGCCTTTGCACTATGCCTACCAAACCATCACCTTTTCCTCAAGAGCCTTTCTTGGCTTTCGATCCCAGGACATTGAGATTAGTCCACCACCACCACACAAAAAGATACAGGAGATCCCCAAAGAATAGGAAGAAGGTTAAACTCACGCTCTTGTTTGCCCTGCAAGTGCAGAACCTGTTTCCTCCCTTTCCAAATCAATAATTAGAAACCCTGGAATTACACGCTGAAGCTGTATAACAGGTTTGGTTGGTTTTGAGGACACGGTGACTCGCCCGCGTAGGCGCAGCAGCCTAGGACAAAGGTCCCATGTGCCACCCGGCCAGGAGGGGATCTCACCAGAGCCTAGGACACACACGGCTGGGGACCTGGCCCGGGCCACCCTGAGGGAGCAGCAAGGGCATTTGAAGGACACCTCCATTAGCCCAGGGTCCCGGTCAGCCTCCGGGGCTGTTCAGCCGCGAGCGGACCAGGGTAAGAGGAATCTCTCCCCGCCTGTCTCCGGTGCTCTGGTCCTGCCCCGGCCGCTCCCGCCGCCTGTTGCTGCTGCTCGCTGCCGGCCGCGGGTTTTGCATTCATAAAACTGGCCTGCCATCTCCTGGGAAGGCCGTGAAATGCAGCAGGCAGAGCCCGCACCGGAGCGGCCATCTCCAGCCTTGCGTGCCCCAGCTCCCCTGCCTGCATCCCAGCGCTGGGGGGGGGGGGGGGGGGGTGTCTTGCCCCAGCACCCAGGGAAACCAGCCCCACGCCCCATCTCTGCCACTCACAGGCCTCCTTTCTTCATCCCGTTAAGCTGAAATGATGTTCTTACAGCACGTAAGGGGAAGCCAGACAGAAAAGCGTATCACCATATGTCGGCTGCAGTGGCACAGTGGGGAGAATGACTGTCACCCCAGCTGGTAGCACACCTGTGCACTGGTCTGCGCTCACCAATATATCCAAAAGCAAAGGACCTTGAAGAGTTGGTCAGGAGCTTTAAGTTTGCCTATAGTGGTTTTCAAAGCATCAGTAGGTGTCAGGACCAGAAAAGAGCTGATACCGTGCAAATATTTTATACAGGCAGTCTGGCCTGCCAGTGTCAGCATGCATTGTCTAGTCTCCCCCTTTGAAAAACATTGTGGGAGTACCGTGGTATTTCCAGCAGCAAGATGTACCTGTTACTGTAACATCCACAAACCTGTAACAGAAGCCACCTGCAATCTAGCCTGGGAGGCATGGGGAAACACAGTGTTTGCAGAGCACTTTGTACCTCTAACGCAGTGCCAGCACAAGGCTGCCATTCTCCCAGCAACTCGGGTGCCGCACCGCTGTTGGAAACGAGGACATTCACCTGCAAACGAAGCAGCGGCGAGCACGCACTGCAGCCCCAGGAGGCCACTATAGCCCTTCTCATGCTGCTCTGAGTGCTCTCAAAGCGAGCAATTCAATGTACCACAGCTGGTCACTCCGTAGCCATCACGGCACGTGTCGCTTCTACAGCGATAGCGCAGCACAGCGGTTTTGGGGAGAACACACCGCACGCTGTTTGTGCTCAGGGCCCCTCCTCTGGAGAGCAATAATAAAAGGGCTTTGGGCTAGGTATGAAAATCATTTTTTTATTGTGCTGGATGTGGGTGGGAATGAGAAACATGGAAGAGCACGGATACAAGAGGAAATGAGCAAATGGCAGATTCTGCAGCTCTGAGCAATAAATCGTAAAGCAAATTGGCCCTTAGGCAGGCATTCAGACAGGAAAGGTAGGATCCAGCTCTTAGCTGGGTGCTCCAGATTGCTTTAATGTCCTTCCACAAAATCTGTAGCTGCGAATTCTTGTAGCGTCACACTCCTGCAGTTGACGAGTGTTCTAGAGCACACACCTATGTAACACCAGAGCACCCCAGAGCCTGCTCCCTGTGAGCCCACAAGGAGGCTCCCTCCAAGTCACCTGTACAGTCCCCGGTGGAGAAAGCACCAAGCAAGGTGTGTGGGTCAGAGCAGCAAGCACATGCCTTTTCTGCCGAATAAAACCTGGTGATTATCATCTAAGTAGCAAGGGCTAGGGAGGAAACAGAAGTCTTCAGAAAGGCGAGGAAGACAACTGCTGGAATTAAGGTCAGGAACTTGCTGGCATTTGCTGACATTTTATTCTGATGAGCTGGCAGAGCTCATGCTCTTCTGGCACACATTTATGCATGCATTTATTTACTTTAGAGGTGAGACTGGGAACCATCTCAGAGCTGTTTTTAAAAACACAGACACATCTTTGGTATCCACTGTAGTGCAGACAAACTATTACTGGAATAACCTGAAAACTCAGATTTTGTCTTCATAGACATCTTGATTCTTTGCATGACAATTTCCTTTCAAATTGCAGCTATCCGAGGTTTTTGGAAGCTCTCCACAAACCTCAAGTCTTGAAACATTTTTGTTTCAGAAAGACAAACACATGGTGCTTCTGCAATAAATACACTCCCCAAAGCAGAGCAGGTGCCAGCTAAAATTAGCATTCCTCCCTGCCAGCTTCACCACAGTCTGCAAGCAAGCCATGAGAGCCTGGAATGTTTGGGGCACCCAGAGTCCCTGTACTACTTCAGGGAGCTGGTGGCAGTGGGATCTCATC